GCGGAATCTTCTTCGTGGGATTCTTGTTATCTTTCATCACCTGCCAACAGAGGAAAAATTATTGGGGGCCCTCCTCCCCTAATATCGTGCTCGGGGTATCATAGATAGTGTAGTAACAGGGCTTAAAAGGACCCACCGGTTCTCTATGACAGTCTTTTTTTTTTCGGACACGCGTAGTGTACAGTGAGAAGAGATAGAGAGATAGAGAGACAGAGAGAAAGGTCTTCCTTCCGTTGGGTCACCCCACAAATGGCCGCTACAGCTGACACTGCGCTGATCTGAAGCCCAGAGCCAGGTGCTTCCTCCTGGTCTCCCACGCAGGTGCAGGGGCCCAAGCACTTGGGCCATCCTCCACTGCCCTCCTGGGCCACAGCAGAGAGCTGGACTGGAAGAGGAGCAAGCTGACTGGAACCCAGAGCTCATATGGGATGCCGGTGCGGCAGGTGGAGGATTAACCAAGTGAGTCACAATGCCGGCCCCCTACAGGAACTCTGAATAATTGTCTTGGATTATTTAAATTCATTTGTATTGCTAATAATTTTTTTTCATAGATGAGGGTCTACTAAGAAAAAACAAGCATCCAATAGTACTTTATCCATTTTAGTATTTTTTCTTTCTTTTGTTCTAGTACTATTGGTTGAACTCTGTAATTAACACACAATTATTCTTAGGTGTTTAAATTTTAACTGAAAAGTGATCCCTGTTAAATATAACAGTGGGAATAAGAGAGGGAGGAGATGTACAATTTGGGACATGCTCAATCGGACTTGCCCCAAATGGTGGAGTTAGAATCCTGCCAGGGGATTCCAATACAATCCCATCAACGTGGCCTGTACCAATGCCATCTCACTAGTCCAACTGATCAATTTCAGTTCACAACTGATCACACTGATAGGTCTAAGAGTCAAAGGAATCACACAGACAAGACTAGTGTCTGCTAATACTAAATGATAGAATCAAAAAGGGAGAGAACGATCCATCATGGGAAGCGGGATACACAGCAGACTCATAGAATGGTAGATGTCCTAAACAGCACTCTGGCCTCAGAATCAGCCCTTAAGGATTCTGATATGGCTGAAGAGCCCATGAGAGTATTTTAGGCATGGAAAGTCAAGACACTCTGGCACAAAAAAAAAAAAAAATGGCCTAAATGAAAGATCTCTGCGAGTGAGATCCTAGTGGAAAGAACAGGGCCATCAAAGAAGGAGGTACCTTTCTCTGAAGGGAGGAGAGAACTTCCACTTTGACTATGACCCTGTAGGAATAAGATCAAAGTCGGCGAACTCAAAAGGCTTCAATAGCCTTGGCAACTCATGACAAGAGCCTCAGGTGATTACTGATGCCATAAACAAGAGTGTCAAATTGTTAAGTCAACAACAGGAGTCACTGTGCACTTACTCCTCATGTGGGATCTCTGTCCTTCATGTGTTGTCCAATGTGAAGTAATGCTAGAACTAGTACTGAAACAGTATTTTACACTTTGTGTTTCTGTGTGGGTGCAAACTGATGAAATCTTTACTTAATATATACTAAATCAATCTTCTGTATATAAAGAGAATTGAAAATGAATCTTGATGTGAATGGAATGGGAGAGGGAGTGGGAGATGGGAGGGGTGCCAGTGGGAGGAAAATTATGGGGGGGGCATTGTAATCCATAAACTGTACTTTGGAAATTTATATTTACTAAATAAATAAAAAAAATGATTCACATATCTGGGAAAAAAAAGAATAAACAAGCATCAAGTTAAATTGTAAAATAAAAGATTTAGACTAGACATATAGATATGTTATTACTATTGTTATTTTGATTTTCTCTGGGAAATACTTAGTGTAAGCTAGAGAATCCATCCCAAATGGCCTTAGATGCCATTCTTTCTAAAATTAAGGAGAATTTCACAATGACCTTAAGAGAAACTCAATCATATGAAATAGGATGTTTTAGTGTTGACATCCAAAAAACAGAAAACTACATATTATTTCTTTCTTAATTCAGGATGTACACATACAAAAAAATCATGAACAGAAGATACCCTTCACTCATTCCTCATACTTTTCCACTGGTCCATAATGAAGGATGGGGGGAGGGTATCAGGAATGGGACAAAGTATGGAGTCTGAGTATAGTACAATACAGGAATAAGATACTGGGTATGGATAATATATGAAATATGGCAACATATAGAGTAGGAGTAGGGTATAGACTATAATAAGGTATGGAATATAGCAACAGTGAGGAGTATGGTAAAGCACAGACTATAACAAGGGTATGGCATGTGAGTAAGGTATGGAATTCCAGTAAGTCAGGGAGTATGAATAAGTTCCTAAGTTGTGCAGTAGGAGACAGGATGGGGGAAGGTAGTTTTAGCAGTCATGTAAGGGTATCTGTTGCAAATATCACTAGAACATAAAAAATAGCTGAAAATGTATGGTTTTGACACTGTTGTATGTTTTAAGATGAATATATGAGTTGCTTTCATATATTAGGCATTTTCTAAGCAAGGGCAACAAAATGGAGTTGACAAATTCATAGAATGACAGCATCCAAACAGGCAATTCAAAACTCTGAAGTTCTAAACGTTCAGATTTCTGATTGGTTAACTTTGGATGTATTTGCTTAATTACCTTACTTTCTTTTTATTAAGAATTATTTACTCATTTGAAAGACAGTGACAGAGATAGAGGGGGAGAGATTTTGCATCTGCTTCTTTACTACCCAATTGGCCACACCTTCCAGGGCTGGACAACACAAACCTAATACAAATACCAGAGCTGGTCAATGAAATGCATAAGAAATATGAAAAACTAAAATTTTCAAGTTATTTATATTTTCGCAAGTTTGTATAGGATAGGGCTATTTGATCAATTATAAAAAGATATGCACATCATAGCAATTTAAAATCACCAAAGATTCAATGGTATGAAACATCTTTTCCACATGTTACTGAAAAGTCTCAAAGCATACATCACATCATTATAATAACAGCAGGAACTCTACATAAATACCCAGTGTTTTATATCGTATTTATTAAAAGAGGGATTTGCAAAAGTTGACAAGACTCTCTGCTTCTTCCCTTCTGCAAATAACAGATAATAACAGATGATTGTACTTGAAACAAATAATTGTTATTCCTTTTGTTTGTGTGTGTGTTTGATCAGTATTGACATATATCTCTTGAAGATGCATATGTGGAATACATTTATTATTTTGAACAACTAAGCTAATATTTAGAAAGTTTTCTAATATGAAACACTAATATTTACATAAATGTTTAGTTTAGAGAATCACTTGGTCCCTATCTCTTGGCCATAATCATGCAACAATTCAATTCAGTGTGTAGGCGGTACTGCTTTAAGTAAATTATCTTGTAAGGATTTTTGTTGAGTGCTGTCTGGAATAGAGGTTGTAGGTATGTAGATGAGTTCCTTTCTTTCTAAGAATATTTTCCATGACCTATACTAAAAATAATTTTTAATCAGCTTGAATTTCTTGGATATTTTACTAATTTTTGCATTGAAACTAGTTTGGCTTTAACAGATTCCATCAACTTTTATTCAAATATAGGAAATGATTTTAGAATGGCACACTAAGCCATCCTCCTCTATACCAAGGTTATCAAAAATGAATTTCTCTTCACCTCAAGGTAAAATCCCAGAAATGCAGTGTGGTTGTACATAATTGGGATTCCCTCAGCTGAGAAGGAAGTACAAAATCTTGAAACAGAAAAAAATTCCAGGGTATTATATGACCTTTAGGCCCATTTTGCTTAGAGAGCTTATAGCTCTCAATAAAGATCTCTGTGTTGGGAGAGGTCCTGTTGATTGTACACAATCAATAGAAGACTCCTAGGAGAAGTAATGTGTGGGGTCAATTGGAAGGGAGTGAGTAGTAGTATAAGAAACTTTGACTCTCTAGATTACAAACTGTTGTAAATTAGGGACCAGCACAGAAGGTTAAAGTCAAGGGCTTCAGTGCCTGTATCGCTTGTGGACACCCATTTGATGCCTAGTTTTTCCCTTCCAATCTCACTCCCTGCTAATGCACCTGGGAAAGCAGCAAAGGATGGCCCAAGTCCTAGAGCTCCTGCAACCCTGTGGGTGACCTGGAAGAATCTCCTGGGTCCTGGCTTGAGTCTGGCCCATCCCGGTGGTTGAGGCCATTTGGGGAGTGAACCAGAGGGTGAAAGATCTCGATCTCTCTCTCTCACTCTCTCTCTTTCTTCTCTCTCTCCGTAACTCTGCTTTTCAAATAAATAAATAAATCTTTAAAAAAAAATTGTACACCAGAAACTTCTTCTTTGTATTGCCTTAAAACTTAAATCTCTCCTGCAATAAGAGATCTTAGTCTTGATTTGACTCAACAGTGGGAATGTACTTCTTTTGTGCTTCTTCTCATCAAAACTCTTGCTTTTTATTCCTCTCCTGGTGCTCCCTGCTTCAGCGAAGAATACCAAATATCGACCCAATACTCCAAGGTCAAAACCTAAAAGTCACCCTTAAGTCCTTTTTTCCTTTACTTAAGTGGATCCTGTTGATTTCAATCTTAATACACACTCAGTGTCAATGACCTTTTATCTCCACTGTCATCTCTTGCCTGGCCTTCTACAATTACTTTCTAGCTGGTTTATCAGTTGCACTGTAATTCTCACATCTACCATCCACAGAGCAGAGAAGTCTTCTAAACATGGAAATCGGATCTTGTAAGGGAGCCTGCTTAAAACCCTTCAAGAGGGCTTCCCATCAGACAGTCAGCACAGTCCACACTCTCCACTGTGGTCTCCGTGTCCTCTGTTGTTTAGCTCCAGCCTATCTATCTGACTTCCTTGCTTTGTCTCACTTATTAGGTCCCTTTCTTTCTTTATGTTTCTACATTCTCCTTAAGTTTTTTTTCTATGGATCACATCTTTTCCTGTTTTAAAATGCAAAAACACAATGACTGAACTAGTTTTTAATAAAAGAGTATGTATTTTTAAACTCTAAAATAAAAATGGGATGAACCTGTTGCAGTTGCAGAACTAATTTTTATGGATTCTAAGTTGCCAATCTGTCATAGTCCACTACAAGACTTGCAGGTACCTTCTTATCTCTTTGAATAGGTTGCATTTCAAGAGGATTTTGTTTGTGTGCTTGTTTTCTGTGAGCAAGACAGGGAATTAGCACTCAAAAAATGTTTTCCTCATAAAATCATGTAGTACATGCTTTTTGCTAGGCCAGGTCCTAAAATTCACATCCATGCTTTCTGTATACAGAATATCTAATCAAACTATCTTGAGCCATTTCTTAGGAATCCTCATTTTAAATAATACTCCTTTTGATTTTCATACATATAACCTCAAGGAATGTAGATAGATCAGTGGTGCTGGGATCAAACAAGAAGGTGGGAGGGTGGCAGATGGAAAGAAGAAATTAATTCTGAGGGCTTGTCTGTTTCAGGTACTATTGGATTTATCAACACATTTACTGTTGATAATATCGAAGGCAGGAGTTTGTCTTTCCCCACAGAGACCGCAGTGACTCTGGGGCATTGCTACGAAAGCCTGCCCATGACACTGTATCAAACAAGTGTCTGTCACTGGGGTACTGACTAGTCTGTAGAAAAACTGGAATTTGAGAACCAAAGATCTCATGCTCTTCTGCTTACATCATATTGAGGATACAAGTATGATAAAAATGCTTCTTTATCACGCAAGGGAAGTGAGAAGAGAAGGTGACTCCTTGAATATTTCCTGTCATTAGGCAGTATTTCATTCCCAAACTACCTTTCCAGAGACACTGGCATTATAGACATGTGAATGAAAGAGATTCTTTAAAAATTACCAAAGAAATTCAGTTTCCCAACTGCACTATAAATTCCTAAAGGAGGCAAACATTTTTATGTGCAGATAAAGTAACAATATGAGAAAGTGACAGATATCTACCTTTTAGCACAGAATCTGATGTCCCTTCCAGGGAAACTAAAACAGTCCAAGGCTCTGAGGGAGGTCCCAAGGATTCCACTCTTCGATTCTGGAAATGTGGGGTGGGGAAGAGGTGGATTCAGAGAATATTTTTTTTTAAGTTATGTTAAAAAGAAAAGACACTCATAAGCTGTTTTGTGTGTGTTTTAATTATTCATTTAGAGGAGTGAGATAGTGTTCTCATCCTTTGACTCACTACCCAATGCCCAAAATGGCCAGGGCTGGGCCAAAGCCAGAAGCCAGGAACTCACTTCATATTTCCCATATGGTGGCAAGAACCCAGTCACCTACACCATCACAGCTGGTTCTCAGGATTCACACTAGCAGGAAGCTGGAGTCAAGATCAGGGCCAGGCACTTCAACAAGGGATATGAGCAGCCCAACTGGCATCCTATTAGGCCATAACTCCTACCCCAGAAGTTTTGGGAAGCATAGATGCAGTAGAAATAAGCAAAGGAAGAAAATTGATAAATAAGTTGATTCTTAAGAATATATAGGGCCAGCGCTGTGTCATTGCCAGTAAAGCCGCCACCTGCAGTGCCCGCATCCCATGTGGGCACCAGTTCTAGTCCCAGCTGCTCCACTTGCAATCCAACTGTCTGCAATGGCCTGGGAAAGCAGTAGAGGATGGCCCAAGTCCATGGGCCCCTGTACTCCCATGGGAGACATGGAGGAGGCTCCGGGCTTTGGATCAGCACAGCTCCAGCAGTTGCGGACAATTGGGGAGTGGGCCAGCAAGGAAGACCTTTCTCTCTGTCTCTTCATCTACCTCTCTGTAACTCTGCCTTTCAAATAAATAAATAAATATTTTCAAAAGAATATATAAACATTAGCTTATTGAAAGAAGATAAGGGAGATTATTATAAGAAAGTTGCATCAGGGCGGAGAAGGAGGAGAATGGAAAGGTAAGTTCATAAAAGAGGGGTATTGGTTGAGGATTAATAATGAAGGAACGGTTTAGAGAAGAAAGCAGGAGAGAGTTGGGTGAATGACTGAGTAGATCAAAATTAACAGGTTTTCAAGTATAGACCTCAGCTCCATGGACCTCTTCCTGCAAATATGTCAAAGGATGTATTTTAAATAGTAGAAGGCTGATCAGTAGATCATATTTCACGTTTTCACCATTAATAGATAAATAAGAAATAAATGAGAGAGGAAGAAAAAAGGAAGGAAGGAAGGAAGGAAGGAAGGAAGGAAGGAAGGAAGGAAGGAAGGAAGGAAGGGAGGGAAGGAGGAAGGGAGGGAGGGAGGGAGGGAGGAAATACAGAATCATAGGATATGGAGCCTGAAACCAAAAGTAAACACAGAACACATCAATCAAACTGAGGAAAACAAATGCCATGTGTTCTCTCTCATATGTAGAAGCTAAAAACAAATGGATCTGAATACAGAATAGTAACTATTAGCCTCTAGGAAAGGGGTGGAGTGGAGATAGAGGGAGGTTGAGTAACAGTTATCAAATTAGTTATATGGAAGAAATAAGTTCTGGTATTCAACAGCATAGTAGGGTTTCTATATTTCACAATAACCTATTAAATATGTTTTAAACCGAAGAGAAAAGATAGAAGGATACAAAGCAATGATAAGATGGAAATACGAATTACCTAGATTTAAAAAGTACACTTCATATAGATGTATTAAAAAATCACATTGTATCCCAGAAATATAAATATTATTACACATTCATCAATTTTTAATACTGACTACCCTAAATTCATCATTATATACTGTATATACATATTGAAGCATCACTTTGCATCTTCACAAAAATGTACAATTAAAATTTAAAAAGAAAAAAAATTAAGTCACTACTAAAATTATAAAAAAGGAATTAAGCAAGAAGCCTCTTGCTCATAATTTATTTGACTTCATATTAGAGAGATAACTCAAAGTAACAGTAAACTGTAATTCTTATATGACATCATAGGTTCCTTTATTAGCATGTGAAGAGGTTTCTTCACATGCACTTTTTTGAGAAGACTACATTTCGAGACCTACTTCAAAAATGCTTTGAAAAGAAAACTATCAGAACTTTTTATTTACCCTTGATCAAATTCTGAACACTCACAGAAAAACAGAAGGTAGGCAGATTGTGAATTGAAAGGAAAAGGATAAAAATAGTGAAAAGTTGTAAGTGCAGATTTCACACAGTGGGCACTCTGAAAACATGTGTTGATGATGACGATAACCGAACTATAGGCTAAATGCAACATGCTACCAGCTTCTCAGAAAGCTTGTGCCCCAAGAAATCTTACTTGCTCATCCAGAAAAACGAGTTGTGGTTGCACAGGAAGCTCTTTTCCCACTTCTCCATCCGAAGGCTGGACTAGGACTGAGAGAGCACAGGGTTGAATATATATCAAGTTCCCAGTTTTAAAACTGCTTGTGTTTCTGGAAGATAGAAAAACAAATAGAATGACTCCGTTGGATACCAAATATATCTACGGTAGCTCTTTTCCATAATATTCATCCCTGATGGCCAGTGAAAAGATTCACAGTTGCCTATATTATGTAGTGAACAGGACTCTACACCAAAGGACAATTTTATAATTTTTGAAAAGTTTATTTAGCCATGATTTTTTTAAATGGATGGAATGGGGAAAAGAATAAATTCTGAATTTATGTCTTTATCAAGATAAACCTTCCTATCTGCACCCCCCCTCCAAAGCCTCAGTGAAAGAATGTATCAGAATAAAATACTTAGAGGACATCAACATGTTCACTACTAGGCTATGAAGTGAACTCTCCCTCCGCAAAATGCCCTGATGGCTAACGTGTTTCAATTTCCATGGTATAAATCCTCCAGTAATAGCTGATTCTAAGGAAGCATGATAACATCACTAAATCGACCCGGGAAGAGATGCCCAAGAGCAAACTCCAGCACACTACTGTTTTCCTCAAAGTAGTTCATATAATCCTCACAACAACCCCTTCACATTGTATTCTCCTAGTGTGCTTGCCCTAAGTAGCTTTAATAACTGCACCATTAATTATTTTATTTTAATTGCATGGAATACTTGCTGAATAACTGATATTTACTTAAACCATGTACTATTAAAATGTTTTATGTATAAACTCATTCGCATTGCTAAAATGATGCTATAAGGTAGGTACTCTTATTTATATATTAAGAATCTGAGTTCTAAACAGGCTTAAGCAACTTGCCTAAGCAACCAAAAAGTACTGGACAGGGACTTTAGTGGTTAATGAATGAGCTATATTGTCTCTCAACTCATTGCAGCATTTAACTGCTGATGTAATTTAGCGATAAAATGGAATGCAGAAAAATAGATAATTCATGACACTTCATAATCTTTTACCCAGAGGTTTGGCATTTTGGTGATAGAGCTAGCTTTATTAAAAGAACACTATACACTTATGTTTCCATTAAGTTTATTGGGTATTACACATCATAGCCATGTAACAGATATTTGGCAATTTAATAGAAATACCTAGAAATCATATAGTACCCTAACATAGAGCATCCCTTGGTGAGTTATCCATTAAATAACCTTCTGCAGATCTAACAAGGCTTTTATTTTAAAAAGCAAATAAAAAATGGGGGTGGTGGGAGACTGGCCTAGCAGTTAAGTTTACCTGTATCTCATATCAGAGTACCTGGGTTCAACGCCCATCTTTGGCTCCCAGTCCCAGTCCTGATGATTCAGACCTGGGAGGTCCAGATTGAAGTCCTAACGCCTGGCTCTGGTCCCAGGTGGTTGCGAGAACCAGTAGATGGCCATATTCTCTCTGTATATATTTCTTCTTTCTCTCTCTCTGTCTCTCTGTCTCTATCTCTCCTCTCTTTCTCTCACTTTCTTTCTCTCAGTTGTTTGATCCATCTTTAAAATAAATTTTAAGACACCCTCACTTCCCCATTTTCAGTGCTTGTGAAGCAATTATTTATTACCAAATTTTCCCTCCACCATGCAAGCAGGAAAGGATGAAGAATTTATTTATTGTGTCAGGTAAAGGTGAAGATTAGTTGCCAAAAAGAAAATAATGGGAAAGCAAATACAATGGATCACAAAATACGAAGTTTTGATAGGAAGCTTCAACCAACTAGGACTCTGATCTCTATGCTGAAGTCAATGCCTGGCAATTCAACAAATGCTAGCCCAATCATCCTGTCGTTTGTATGGCATAGTGTTTAAGGCTCCTTTCGTTTTGTGAAGGGAACAATTTAAACCACATCAAAAAAATCCATGGTATTAATTTTATAGATTCCAGGTTATTGGAAAACTTTTACATTATTTTCTTACCCCATTTCTGCCTTATTCTACTCTTTAAATGCTTTCTGATGAGGGATGCAGGCAAGCAGTCTGAGTTAAAGAAACTGAAAGACCCCATCAGAGATTCTGATGTCAGCACACTGCTGTCCGGAGACTAAGGAATGGTGTTCAGCTGCCTGAACACCCGCAGAAAGGCCCATCCCTGACACACTTTAAAGTTTATTGTGAGCAAACATCTCTTATTAAATGTAAACAGCATCTCACTGGAGGTCAGAGACTTGCTGCTACAGCATATCCCAAGGTAATACCACTTTAAGCTCCACATAAACTCTTAAGCAGTTTCTATCCTAAAACCTGACCGTAGGTGGTACAGTTTTTTACGATATGTTATAATAGTGCAATAAATCTGTTAGCTTAAAATCGAATCTCCGTGGCCTTTTAGAGAAATCATCATTAAATGCAGGGTCCTGTTAATGATGCCATCGAAGTGAAATTGTTTAATCTGCTAAGGGGGTGAAAGGTCACCAAATGAATTTTTTATAATACATCAACTTGACACGCAATAGGGAAAACTGTAATAGATAAAAGCAAAGGAAAAGGGCACTGTCTTCTTCTGATAGGTCAATAGCAGCCAAGAGAGTCACTCATCCACTTTCCTTTCACAATGGGGCTCCTTTTGCATTTAATATGGACACCCAATTAATACCTCAGCACCACAGACAACCTCATTTTAGGTGACTTATAGCAATTTCTCCCCCTTCCCTGAAATGAAAGTGATCACAATACATCATAGCATTGTGCGAATTAACGTTAATTGATTCAAGTTACCAAGCAATGATGGGCCACTTATATAATCTAGGCGTTATTGGGTGCTAGAAGGGATAGAGGGAAGATTAGATTCCAGTGTCCGTTGCTGTGACGACGGGAGTCACCTGACACCTTGTTAGACAGTTGTAAGGTTCTATTGCTGGCCCCAGTGGGGTCGTCAGTAAACTGGAGTGATGTCCAAACATCATTACACGCTGCTCCAATATTAAAGCAAAGGGATTAGCAACTTATTGCAAGCAACCTGGATTTGTCATTGTGCTGTCGTTATCCAATTTCCAACAGCTAATGTGACTGTAGCCTGCAGGCAGAAGGACCTACAGCCAAACTTTAAAAAATGGGGAGGAAAGTTCCCTCCATCTCTCTCAGTTTTAACCACTTTTTAACAGCTCCCTATACCCATTCAGGTATGTGGAAGAATCTTTTCTTTCATCTAATGCTTAAGAGTAAGATAAAAAAGAAAAAAAAAATCAAGAGATTTCCAAATTCACCACTGTTCACTCCAACTCTGGCATTTTAATGCACAGATCAGAAATGTTTGCTCTGTGGCACACAGGATTATTTCTATTTTATGACAAATCCAGCAAACAGATAAACAAGTAAATGCTATTGGTGAAAAATTGACCCTGGGAAAAACCGACTGTGGTAATGGATGAATGGGTTGGGGTGGGGGTGGGTGATTAGATACTCCCTCCTCAACTTTCTCCTCCTTAAAGCTACTAAGCCAGGTTTTGGTCAAAGGGCCTTACATTTTGAATAAATGCTTCAGGGTGTTTTGAGCATTTTCTCTCTCTCTTGTTTTAATAGGGTAGATAAGGCAGAATAGTCTATATATTTAAGAGGGGACTTGAATTCTAATGTCGGGATGACGGTGTAGTTTTGTACTAGCAGTTGAGATGTCACTTCAAACACCTGCATATATTAGGAGAGTACCTGAGTTCCAGTCCCAGCTCTGCTCCTAATTCCAACTTCCTGCTAATGGACACCCTGGGAGGCAGCAAAGAATGGCTCAAGTAAGTGTGTCTCTGCTATCCATATGGGAGGCCTAGATTAAGTTAATGGTTTCCAGGTTTGAGCTTTGGCCTGGCCCAGCCCTACTGTTGCAGGCATTTGCAGGAGTGAATCAGCGGATGGGAGATTCATTCTCTCTCTCTCTCTCTCTCTCTCTCTCTCTCTAACTCCTTCCCTCCCTCCCCCCTTCTCTCTGTCTCCCCAACTCCATAAACAAAGTTTGGATGATTCTGTACCCTGGGAGAAAACTACTTTTCCTAGTCAATTCCATTTAATAAGCATATATTAACTCTCTTGCTATATACAAACTTCTACAGGATATGCAAAGATAAATAAAATCTCATAACCTCTGCTCCTCAGGAATACTCTGCCATATAACTTGTTAGACAAAATTACTTTCCTGGCTACTCTTCTGAGTTAATGTATACCACTCTACTTCATTTAGTTTCCTTATGCTCTTGTTTTAACCTAGTCAGATTCCCTTAGTGGCTGTGTACTCCTAGAACAAAAGAACTATCTTCTGATGTGTCAGTTTTCTTGTGGCAATGTGGTCTAGTGATCCCACATCTGGCACACTAAGCACTCAGTATGTGTTTCTGTAGTAACATTTTTCCAAGTCATGCAATCCCTCTGCCCTTAGGTCACTAAATGCCTTTGGAAGACAATCACCCACTTTTGTTTGGCCAACTTCATGTTCCGCTGCACTCCTCAAGCAATGTGCTTAATTCACTCCTGTAATACTTAAGATGAAACTTTTGTGACTCCTTAGAATATGTTATTTTAATTTGTGACTTGAGTGACCCTAAATGTAGATTGCAGTACCAAGAGAATATAAAGACACAGAATAAATGGTACATCTTCAAATAGTGTTAATTACAAGCAAAAATTTAGAGAGATCCAAACTTAAGTATTTTAATTGGTCAATCATTTTAAACATTTTACAATAAATATGGCATGAACATTTCATCTAGGAGAATAGAAATGCAGAGTTTTTGATAAAGATCCTATATAATATATTAAAAAATCTCTCTTTGTACTGAGCAACTGCACAGTCATACATATAGAGTCTAGCCAGGAAACAGAAACAACTGAAAGTCTTTTTCATAAGAAAAAGACCAGGTTAGTTTTCCTATTTCTTGACTTTGAGTTGAATGTACTTGTTTTAGACTCCTTGCTTTAAAACCATTACATTTGCATCTATCAGTGTTTGGTAGTCTTTGATTTTGGAAATCTTTCTAATGGAAGGGATTAAATATAGATATGGGTTAAAAATAGTAGAGAAATGAAACAGACTACATTTTATTATTTGTGATAAGTATTGAA